GGGGGTGGGGGTGGGGGCGCAGTCCGGCTTCTGGCCTGGCCGCCAGCGATAAGAACCCTCGGGAAGAATTCACTGCTCCTTTTAATACAGTAATTATTTTTCTGCCTTCTGCGGGTGGGGGCGGCTGCTAACCGAAATGCCAGGATCCTGCCCTTCAGGAAGATACCTAGGGATGGCAAGTTTGCAAGATAACTTCTTAGACCAACCCTAAGTCAAAAAGAGCACTTGGAAAAGTAAGAAGGGTAGTCTGACAAGTCTTATTTCACTACCCAGGACCAACAAGGAGAGACAGGATCACAATTTCTGTATCTATCTCTGGAGTCTAACACAAGAATTGCTTCCCTTCCCCATCATCTAATTCTGCAGGACAGTAAGAAAATCGTAGCTATGAATTAAGCTTATTTTTTGTCAGGTTCTTTACATTCATCTTCTGTAAAATAAATATGTAGTAGCTATTTTATAAATGAGAAAGTGAAGGTTCTGTGTCTTCCCATTCCTACCTGCTCTGACCCTAGAAGGGCATAATATTCTGGAGAGCCCAGAATGCTTCCATCCCTTCTCACACCCCTGCCAATCCACCACCTCTGATCTGGCAGGAAAGAGATTACTAATTCTGAGATATGGTCACAAACAGGGGCAAACAACCCTTCAAGAAAAGGGTTGTGGTAAGCGGCAAGAAGGCAGGATTTGATTTGGAAAGCTTGGGGCCTAAACCATCTCAGGGGTCAGGAGGTCTCAGAAGGCAGAAGGCTCTGGAGCGGTGAGAATCCCAACAGCTCCGGAGATTTTCTACATTTGCCAGACCTGGGACCATACAGGGTTATGGGAGAGGAGATGCAACCGTTTTGGCAAAGCCTCGGCAGAGAGAACTCGAGCCCCATACAGCACCTTCCTGGGGAGACCCTGGGGGCAGTGGTGACGTCAAGTCCCAAGTCCCGACCGGTGCTAGTCGGCCTAGGCCCGCATCTTCCCGCGCGCCTCAGCTGGGCACTGAGCGCTCCCCTAGGCAGCCAGCGGGAGGCCCGCGCAGTCACAGGCCAGAGCCGCACCCGCACCAAAGCCGAGAGAGAAGGAAGCAAATGATACTTCAAAGAGCCGAAATCTTTGTAAAGCAGTGCACACTTTATCCTGAACACGCAGGCAGACGATGGTAATGAAACGATGGGCTTCTCTGAGCTATTAAAACACCTGGTGCTTCTTTGCAAAGTCGAAAAACCATCTCTAGTCCAAATGCCTAGAAGCAGCAACTATTTTTACTCTCAAATAAAGGGATGTTCTTTTTGTTTTGCGAGAAAAACTGAGGACAGCGCTCCAGGAATCAGAAACATCACATTAAACAAAAATATAATATAAAATCCATCTGCACACAGAGAGCTCTCTGTCATGAGAAATCTTAGACTTATCTTAATAATCCACCTTTCCAAAGAGAGGTCTCCTTAGTCAAAACAAAAAACTCAAGTCCATTCTTTTCTAAAGGCCACAGAAGAAAAATATACGAACTGAAAACAAGAATCGTAAAACTGGACAGCATCATCAGAAGAAAGAGAGGAGGTACCAAGCCTCCCGTGATGGGTATTACACATTAGGCTTCCAGGAAAGTTTTTAATAGAAGATAACTATGAAAAACACAAAATCAATTTCTCTGGTTTGGGCAATTTCCCTGTCTTTGGAAAGCTCCTTCCACAGCTTTTTACTCCAGACCCTCGGAGGTGATGTCCCTTTGGACTTTATCCAGATTTTCATAGTAAGGATCACAGTATTTCCCCCTTCTCCCTTCTTTAAGGTATTCACCTCACAGACAAAGTCCCTAGGGAGATCCACCCAGATAGCTTCTAACTTGGGTCAAAAGAGAAAGCAAAGAATATTAAGTCATACTCCATCCTCAACCACTGTTGCAGCCTGAAAAGCTTGAGCTCTGAGAGCAAGGAAATGCAGCAGAAAAAAAGAAAAAGAAGGAGGAGGAGGAGAAGGAGGAAAGAAAGAAGAAAGAAAAAAATAGAGATGCAAATTATTTTAAAGCAATTATGGGGGGGGGGAATGTGAGCTCAAGTCTTCACAAAATGAGCTCATGACAAAGGAAACTCCTTCCACAAGGAAAAATATGAGGACCTGTTTTTTAAAATTCTCCAAGAAATGAAAGGGGGCGGGGGTCGTAGTGGGTAGAAAGCTCTTTCAGTTACAACAGATAAATAAATAAATAAGCAGTGCCAACTCACAGGCGATCAAACCATAGTCAAACTTCAATCTCAGAGCAGTTAGCTATAAACTGTTAGCAGTTGAAAAGTAAACCTCGTGCACACAAAGGCACTGTTTAATTTTCTTCTTGTAATGGTGCTAAATGAAGACCCCATCACTATGCAGTTAAGCGGTATTCCTTGTCCCCCTGAGGCGCTGATCAGTTCCTTTTAATGTGAGAAAACTGGCAGCTCAAAACCCGTCAATGGAACTCCCATAACAAAAGTTCTGAAAAGCTGAATGAATTGGGTTTGTAATTACTGCTTCCACCGCCCCCCCACCAGCTTATCTCTTATTCATTCAATTTATATTATTGTCAAGGAATCTTACTCCCAAAATCATTCCCCTACCAGCTTACCTAGGGCCATGGAAGAACTTATGACATGGCAAAAATGCAACCCTGCCCCTCCTCATGCACCTTGCAGTGTTCTGACCAATAGGTGGGAGGGAAGGAAGAACTACACCTTGCACCCCAATTTACTCTGCCACTATTAGAACTCAGGGCACTCAGTCTATGGAGCTTTCCATTTAAAACCTCAGATTTTTCCTGGCAAACAGGAATGTGGATCCTGTCTAAATTCAGGGCCTGCCTGGGTCTCTGAAATCCTGTGACACTGCTACTTAGAAAAGGCAAAGGTTATAAATAAACACCCTCTCTTCTCTCCTCACATCGCAAATCCCTAAAAGACCTTGCCAGACATGATGTGGAAATTAAGATAAATGGTTATGTCCTCCCCCCTCCCGTTTTAAACTCAAAATAGTCTATGATGTAGAAAAAGAGACCATAATTCCTTCCCCCAGCCCAGGATAAGGTTTAATAAAAAAGTCAGTTTTTAGAATGCCAGGGGTCCATGTGTTTTTCAATCTAAGGGGTTGCTGATGGAGAAGATTCTCCAGAGATTTTTCCTACTGTAAGAATGTGTCGGTTTCTAGAAATAAGTACAGCTATTACAACCAAATCTACTAGCAGTCTAAATAATTAATTGAAGCGTTGCTCTTTGACCCCTGAAAAGTCCAGTAGGGACACGTTTATAGTAATAATACCTCCGAATGAGCCCTTGTCAAATATTCATTTAGTGGTTAATGTGAGCCATTTTCCCCTGGGACAGTCTGTAATACCAGCTTTCCAGCATTGGCAAAGAAACCTTGCTAATCTACTACAGCTCAGCAAAAATATTTTAACGTTCTTTATTTAAAGTATGGGGGTGGGGGTCAGGGCAGGAAGAGAAAAAAAAACGCAGAGAACTGACTATAATCTCATCCTTTTGCACATTTCTAGTCTGTTTATAAGGTTAACAAAACATTTAAATTCACCCCCTTTGACTGAAAAGTGGTTTCCTTGAGCTGAATAATATCCCAAGGAAAGAACTAAATACTCAGTAGCTATCTTCAGAATATTTTTTGTTAAAATCACATTTGTTGTTAAAATACTGTATTGTTAATATTAATCTAACTATGAAATGATATAACTTGGAGAACTATTTTACTCGATCAAATGAATGATGCAATGAAATTTGTATGGTTTTCTTCAGATGCAGTTTATCAAATGAATTTATATTTGTAAACAAAATATTTTGGCTTCTATTTTTCAAGTACTTGGTTTGCAGATATGGTTGGATGGGAGGGGAAATGGCAAGTTATCCTGTCTAATACAAATACAGTGACAACCACTGCAAAAACTATATCAACTTCTAAAATATTGTGCTCCCTTTCTGCTTGCAAAATATTTGAACGTGAACATTTTGCCAAAACTTTGCTTTTCAGTCTGATCCTGCAGGTCTTTTTTTTTTTTTCTTTCCTAGCATATATTTATTTTTCAAATATATACATTCTATATCAAATTGATTGGCTAAAATTCCGGGGATATCCACCCCACACCCCCAGCACGTTCATTTGGATCTTTATTCAAAGTTTCTTTTATTCCTATGTGTGAGCAAGAACTGGCGAATGTGCTCATTACCACGTGAATAATCCGTATATGCATTACAATGGCTGGCCAGGCCGGGGGAAATTCTTTTAGAGTCTCTGCATTAATTAGGGGGGAAAATGCCTCGCTTAGAATTGGGAACTGGAATAACTGTCCCTTCCCAGTACAACATTACCCTTAAAATGAGGATAAAGTAAATAAAACCCCCAAATCACAAAATAAAGCAATTCCGAATAAGCTAAAATACAGAAAATGAGACATTCCTAGTTCAACCTAGACCCAACATTTAGCAACACCTCAAGAAATACTTTCTTGGAAATGAGAAGATGCAAACCAATAGGATGAGCTAACTTAGTGGCTGCTGCGGGTACTTTACTCAAGGGTGGAAAGCGCTGCCGGATTCCAACTTCTCCAAAGTTGCAGCAAGTTGACACGACAAGCTCTTGAAATTGTGGAAAGCAATCCTGCACTCTTAAGAATGCCCGGCTCTTGGTTCCTGGTCCCCTTGGGTGGGGGAAGATGAGCGAAGCAAGTAGTAAATAAAAAAGTCCCTGACTAGGTCATAGTTTCTCCGGCGGCGCCAAAGCGCGAATTGGTTGTGATACTGGAGCATCGCTAATTCAAAGACCATGTCGATTTTCCCAACTTTTCCGCTCCCACTGAGGACAACTAAAGCCTTTCTTTACCTTTCCTAGGGCAAAAGAAAACAACAAATCCAATCTTGTTTCTCCACCCTTTCCCCTCCCCCCACTTCTCTACTACTGTAGTAAAACAGTTAACAGATCAAAAGCATAATCATTTCCAAATGTGATTAGACCGGACAAAGTAAAATATCTACCTCGGAGTTGATTGTTTTCTTCTGTAATATGGCTGTTGCCTGGCTTCTCTTTTGCTTGTTATCAGCTGCAGAGATTATCCGATTTGGGGCTACAGGCTTGGACCCACGCTGCCAATTTAAGAAATGGAATTCGGGGAGGGAGAGAAAGGAAAAAAAAAAAAAAGAAAATAAATAATAAAAAAAACTACATCCATGGCAAGTCGGGGAATTTTGCAAGACGTTCTTTGCTTTCCCTTGCTCTAAACAGGAAAATGTAGAGGAGAAAGTTTATGAAGTCAAGGAACAAAGAAAGCAAACCACTTGTTTCCTCTCAGACAATAGCAGGGCCAGAGTAATCCAAACACCCACCCAGCAGATGAACACTTTGCATGTCTAGTTTGCAATTATTCCGATACAAGAAGCATCATTTCCCCCTATAACCAGGTTTCAAAGGGCCATTGTGCTGTGAAGAAAATGAAGACAAAACCAGCCAACCTGGTTCTGATTTGGCTCAATACCCCATCTGCTAAGCTACATGAAAAATTTCAGAATTGACTCCTTTCTGGCAACAAGTGGCACAAATCAGTTTAAGTGTAAGTCCCCATCATGCTTATTCATGCTGCTTAGAAAAGGAGGGGGTGGATTTACAATATATGTCTCTAGTTTCTATTTTAGAAATGACATAAGCATTTCAATTTTTCCAGGGTACTTATTAATCAACCAGCCATCTCTCTCTCTCTCTTTTCAGTTAACATTAGCACATGTTGCTGGACTATTAATACCAAGGTTTTTGGCATTTTGCTTTCGTGGCTGAATATAGTATTACAATTCCCGAGAAGTTATGTATAATCAGTGTTATCCAAATAAATGAAAGACTCAAACATAATTTCAGTGTCCATATTTCAAAAATTTATTTATCTCAAACTGTGCATAATGGAGTAAAAACTTAAGTTGAAAATGTACCTGTTATAAGGATGGTATTAGTTCAAATATATACATGGATTCTCGGCAGACTGATTCAAATAATACAGAGCCGAATCTTTTAAAATACAACTACGGAAAATAAAGAGGGGAGGAACCTTAAAATATCACAATAAATTTACAGAAATATTACAAACCATAAGAAAATATTTCAAACACAGTAATTTCATTTTTTTATCTGAACAAAATGGAAAGGTGGGATTGAACAAAAGCTATTATAAATTACCAACGATGTCAACCTGCATGGCCATTTTTTTTTTTTTTTTTTTGCTTTTAACAGTAAGTTAAAAAATTTAGTACAATCTAAAACTTTTGCCCTTTCAACAAGACCACAGGGATGGTTTTGCCAGTACTTGTTCTATTTTTTTCCTTTTGTACAATTTTAAACTATTAAAATGTCCAAATCTGAATAATTTTCTTCATTCCACGTTTGCAACTGTCCTAAATTTCAGCTGCAGAATCAAAATTCACCAAGAAGCCTCTCCTTGAAAAATATTGGCAAATTCTCAGCTTATAAACAATGGACATTTTGATTGCCATGTTTATCTCGATAAATACTGTACAAAAGTTGCTTGCAAATATTAAAACTTTTTTTTCGTCGCTTGGAGACTAGCTCTAAATATTATTGGTAAAGACTTTTGCAAACTTCCTGCAAAGCTCCTACCGTACCACTAGAACTTTTAAAAAGTTTTGCGTAGTTTTCTTTCCTCCAGATCTATACAAGGTCCAATCCCCCACCCTCCCCACCCACCCCCCCGGTTTTCTCTGTACAAAAATAGTCCCCCAAAAAGAAGTCCAGGATCTCTCATAAAAGTTTTCTTGTCGGCATCGCGGTTTTTGCGTGAGTTTGGATGGGATTGGTGTTCTCTTTTGCAGCTGTCATTTGCTGTGGGTGAAGAGATTTTTTTTCTTTTGAGCGTACCAGGTTATTCTCCATACTGTTTCTAACTCTCCTTTTTTGCACCCCTCCCATTTCCCTTGTTTTTCTTTGAAAGTTTCTCCCCTTTCCAGTTTGCTGTCCAGCCCTCACATGTGCGAGAGGGGCAGTGTGCCGTTAATGGCTGTGCCGGGCACCGGGCCGCTCTGGTAGTGCTGGGACATGTGAAGTCTGCTGGGGGCGGCGGGCTCCGGCACCTCGGCGCCGGGGAGGTACATGCTGATCATGTCCCGGAGGTCCCCGGCCTGGCAGGGCGCCCTGGAGTGGGAGGAAGAGGTAACCACAGGGGGGCTAGAACTGGCCTCGGACTTGACCACCGAGCCCATGGAGCCAAGCGCCATGCCAGGGGTGCCCTGCTGCGAGTAGGACATACTGTAGGTGGGCGAGCCGTTCATGTAGGTCTGCGAGCTGGTCATGGAGTTGTACTGCAGAGCGCTCACGTCGTAGCGGTGCATGGGCTGCATCTGCGCGGCGCCGTGCGCGTTGAGGCCCGGGTGCTGCGGATAGCCCAGCTGGTCCTGCATCATGCTGTAGCTGCCGTTGCTCCAGCCGTTCATGTGCGCGTAACTGTCCATGCGCTGATTCACGCCCGCGCCCAGGCCGGCGCCCACCCCAACCCCGCTCGCCATGCTGTTGCCGCCGGGGGCCAACAGCCCGCCAGGCAGCGTGTACTTATCCTTCTTCATGAGCGTCTTGGTTTTCCGCCGGGGCCGGTATTTATAATCCGGGTGCTCCTTCATGTGCAGCGCTCGCAGTCGCTTGGCCTCGTCGATGAACGGCCGCTTCTCCGTCTCCGACAAAAGTTTCCACTCCGCGCCCAGGCGCTTGCTGATCTCCGAGTTGTGCATCTTGGGGTTCTCCTGGGCCATCTTGCGCCGCTGCCCGCGGGACCACACCATGAAGGCGTTCATGGGCCGCTTAACGCGGTCCGGGCTGTTCTTCTGGTTGCCGCCCGCCGCCGCCGCGGTGGAGTTGCCGCCGCCGCCGCCGCCCCCCGAAGTTTGCTGCGGGCCCGGCGGCTTCAGCTCCGTCTCCATCATGTTGTACATGCGGGCGCTGTGCGCGGGCCCGGCCCGCCGGCGGCCGCCGACCCTCGGCCCGGCCGGGACTTTGGGGGGCCCGCGGGCGGGGGGAGAGGAGGAGGGGAGGCGGGCGGGGGTGTCGGGAGCGCAGGGCTCCGCGAGAAAATCAGACGAAGAATAATTTGGGGGAAAAAAAGAGAGAGAAGCAAACTGGAATCACGATTTAAAAAAAAAAAAAGAAATCGCTTCCCTCCTCCTCTGGCCGATCTTGCCGCTGCCGATGATTGTTATTATTATTTTTTGGAAAGGCTTAAGCCTGGGGCTCAAACTTCTCTCCCTTTCTTTCTCTCTCCTCTTCTTTCTCTCAGTCCTAGTCTTAAAGAGGCAGCAAACTACTTTCCCCCTTTTGCAAACACTCTCTTCTCTGCCTTGACAACTCCTGATACTTTTTTGAACAAGTTAATAGACAACCATCCATGTGACGGGGGCTGTCAGGGAATAAATGGGTTTCTAGCGACCAATCAGCGCGCGGCGGCTCCTCCACTCGAGCCCAGCCTCGCCGCTGGGTTTTGCATGAAAGGGGGCGGGGCCTGCCGCGCCGCCGGCCGCGCGGGGGAGGCGGGGGGAGGGGGGGAGGAGAGGAGGGGGAGGCGGCTCCCACAGCCAGCCTGCCAGCCACTGAGAAACCTTTGTATCCCCTCTCGCAGCAACAGGTCACACCACACGCCTTTTCGAAGGAAGTGGGTAAACAGCACTAAGACTATGTGGGTTTTTTTTTTTTTTTCCCCATCTTCAAACTTAATATAGATTTACTTTTTAGTGCAAGATCCTGAAATGAGGAAGGGGCACGGGAAGCAGCTAAGGTGTGGGGGTGGGGCAGGGCAGAGTGGGTGGCTCAGGGCGACTGTTGAACTAGTATTCCAGGAAACAGGCCTTGCAGGAGTTGGTGTGTCCTGGTTCTCCCGCTCATCCCACAGCAGTGCTCCTGACTCCAGCCCCCTAAGGTTTCTCACTAACCAGGCTCTTCCCTGGTCCCTCTTCCTTTGCTGGTGCCAGCACCCAGTCACCCACTTCTTACACTGTCCTGACAAGAAGTTAGGAGGTCAAAACCTCTGTCCTCAAAACCCTTCTTGCTTCCACATTACTTGTTCTGTTTTTTAAAATGAATCTTGCTCGCTCTGACCACATACTCGACTCTGGAGTTAAGGGCAGGCAGGGCCTTGGTAAGCAGTTGTTTCCCTGCCCAGTCCAGCTCTTTGGCCCAGGAAACTACAACCTGTTCTGTTATTCCCAGCCACATCTCCCACCAGTCTGTCACCGTTCACTTCCTGCAAAGGCGATGAGGGTACTCTTCCCTTCTCCCTACTTTTCTAAAGTCTCTCCCAGATAAGGATTTTGGGGGATGCTGCTTACAAATGCGGGCTGGGGGAAGACAAGAGAAGGACATTCAAAAGTGCAGGCAGTGGGGGAGGGTCATTTCAACTTCCTGGCATCCCACGACATTGTACAGAGGTGGCTTTTGGGCCGCACTCACAAACTCCCTCCCACGCAGAGTTCCCAGGACTCCAGCAGAACCAGCCCTGGCATTTCCCCGGCTGACTTCTACGGTGTTGGCAGCAAAGAGCTGGCCGCTAGGGTCAGGGGCTGCGCCACCAAGGGGCTCCAGGCCTGGGAGGCGGGGGGCGGTGCTCAGCAGGCACAGGTGCTGGTAGCACACGCAGGGGAAGGAGGCCCAGACTGAGGAAGCTGCAAGCCCAGCTAGGCTCAAGCTGGAGGAGGATGGGATGGGGGCGGGGGTACAGGCTCAGGAATCTTGCCCGCCCAGGACCCAAGAGGGTAATTTTAGCCGCTCTCCCATTGTCCCGACGTAAAGATTTCAATAGGTAGGCGCTCAAAGCGGAGAGCAATGGCACCACGTCCGTTACAAATAGGTAGTTTTGTTTCTCTTGTTGTCGCTACACGGAGTCAAACAAAGCCCCGTCTAAGTTTCCTTCCACTCTCTTGTTGGGATCTTTGTGGCTAAAATGCACTTGACTACAAAGGGGGGGGGGGGGAGGAAAAAAAAAAACCTGATGCCATTTCTTTTTTTATAAAGAGCTTAAACCATCGGGGTTACTTATTTTCTTTCTTCTCTTACACTCTCTCCGCCCCCTCCTCCCCTGATCTACCCTTACTCACCCAAAGAAAATGTAGTGAATAGTATATACCAGCCACGTTCCATTTATTATCTTTACAAACTGTGCATTGTTTTGTTCCTTACTAACCTTCTTCCCATAATTACCCTCCAACTTCTCCAATTCTGCCCTCCCAGGGTTATCTATTACTGTCAAATTCAAGCTAAGTATACCCACTGGAGACCCAGAAAAGTTGTGAAAAAGAATTTTGCAGACTTTTCTTAAATTATTTCCAACCAACCTTCCTTCTCCCCCCCACCCCACCCCAGGCTCTCCTTTTTTCTCCTTAAATTATGGGATTTTTTTTTTAGTTCTTGGGAGTCCAAAAAGGATGAGACTGGTGTTCTCAAAATGCGTCAGGATTCTCTAGTCTTCAAAATAAAGCAATGTTTTCGATTTAGTCGAGGTGTAATATTAAGCTAAACACGGATCTTTGGAGATTAGAAAAGAAAAAAGGTTGACAGAGAATCTGAAGACAGCCACCGATTTTTCAGCGCAGTTGGTTTCAGGGATGTGGCTGGTGCGCCCCCTGCTGGTATGTTCGCTTTTCCGAGACTATCACTTTTACCTTTAAAAGAAGGTGTTTGGAAATAATTAAAGTAAAAAAAAAAAAAAAATGAGGGGGATGGAAGATCAAACTAATTACACATAATCCAAACAAAAGAAAAGTTAACATATCATATAAACTGTGGCTCCAAATCATAAGAATCAAATTTAATTTGCTTAACTTAGAAATGTACATACAACCTCAAGATAAGTGGGAGGTTAAACCACTGAAAAAAATAGGTACAAATTATGAGATTCAACATATGAATGAATTATGATTGTCCAGGCGCCACGAAGGGCATAACAAGCTCCACTTTATGATTGTGTATGTATTGGTCTGCGCTTAATAGCATTATTCAGAAAACTTAAAAAAAGCTTATGGATAATTAAGTTTGAAGGAAAAAACCCTATGAGGTTGGTGTGAATAATGGTGGTGTATATTTATTAAAATAAATATTAATAACAAATGGTTATAAAAGCAAATATTTTAAATCTCTCTTTCTCTCGAGGGGCAATAGTAAAAGGCACAAAATTTTTCTTGGGATGATATATAAAAGCATTTACATGTTCTGAGATGTATGTGCCTGTGTCTGAACTCTATAATAATGCATTTAAAAGGTTAAAGGGGCTGTCTAAGTTTTTGTTAATTGCTTTTATCATTAAATAAGCTGTGGAAATACATTACAATTGTGTTATCATTGGTTGCATTTATTTACAGCTTTATTTTAATTAAGCTTGCTGTACTTATTGAGGCAATAAACTAACTGTGGCTGGCATTTATGCACAATAATGTGCTATGAAAATAAGATTAAAGAAGATGGTGATAGCAGAAACAATTTTCTCTTTAGAATTTTTTCTAAGACATATGCATTCAAAAAAATCAGATCACCGGACATTCGATTTCAATCTAGCACCATCACTGCCCCTAAATATACTAATAACTCTAACAATCCCAATAGATAACAGAAGTAACCCTGTTTTAGGTTTATAAAAGGTCAGCTAACAGTACTGACAATAATACACCACTGACTACTAGACAATCCCAGAAAGACTTGGAACAGGGTACTTCAACCTCAGATAACTTAAAATATTGCATTGGCAGGATATGAAAATTGAAAGTGCTTAATCTAAAGACAATGTAACACTTTCCTTCCATGGGCAGCGAAAAGCTACATACTTCTAGGGCAATATTGTTAATTAGGAACACAAATGCAGAATTCTTGGAATATTCTGATTTGATTCTGTTCTACTCCCAGTCTTAGCCAAAAAGCCTTAACTGCTAAGTGTGTCTCAATTTTACTGGAGAATCTTTTACATTGACTTTTCTCTCCTAACCTCTCCCTCTACGTCCTCAAGTGTTATATCTGAAGCCAGCTAACAATTTTGTGGAGATAGGGGACTGTAGACTTATTTTTTCTTCTTAGTGGCAAATAGAGGTTTAACTTGCAGTAATTAGGTGAGAACTAGCCAAGCATCTTACTATTATGATGCTTGTTAAAAAACGCTTCTTTTCTGCATCTGCATTTGAGTGTGTTCCCCTCCTCTCTTAATCTTCTTATGGAAATGAAGGCAAACGGCAGGGAACCTGCAGAGTCTTGGAGAATGTCCTTGTTAACTGGAATTTCTCAGCATTGCTAATTAGCCGAGTTTGACGACCACCAGTATTGGGGGAAAGCTCTGTTTAACCACTCACAAACGATTCCGAGGAAGAGCAGACTAATTTTATTTTGTAATTAAAATCTGAAAAGGGCCCTATTTGACAGTTAGGGCTATGAGAGTTTTATCTCCCCGTGAAATAATTACTGCCTTGATAACTCAATTTTCTGAAAAATGTCAACTGTGGGCTCCAAAAGTTTTAATTTCATTACGTAAGGAAAAAAAGCTGGAAAAATAGGAGAAAATGTACAGAAAGGCTTTCTAATTCTGGAACTGGTTAAATATATTAGGAGCCAGATTTGGCCAAATGAAGGTTTTTTTTCCTTCCTTCCTTTTTTTTTTTTTTTTTTTGTTTCCTGTGAATCCTGACCTTCCAACCATATTCTATGAAACTGACCATAGCAGTAATCATACTACAGTGAAGCAGTGATACCAGTTGTCTGGTATGGAAGAGGCACATACAATTAAAAAGTGAAGTAGGGCAACTACGGAAAAGTTCTTGATTTTAAAAGCCAAAGATAAAGGGAAAATAAAATGGATAGCACAACACTGGAAAATTTGATGATTTGAATTTTATTTAGATCTATCCCCAAATACAAGCAAACTGAGAGTTACAGAGTAAGGACACAGGCATAAGTCAATTTTTCCAATGTTCCCTTCTCCCCTCTAAGTTACAAAAATCCTCAGTCACTCCAAATTGAAGCAAGCCACAAGACTTCCAGAACGACCAAAACTTGATCCTTCAGGATTTAAGAAACAAACACAAACAAATGAAGGTAAAGAAGTACATTAGGGGATTTCTTTTCTCTAAAAATGTATCGCATACTTTCCAAAAACAAACAACAAGAAATAAGCTGGGGAAAGTTAGGATATATATAGAAAATAAAAGCACGAATTAGAAACTGATTATTGTACCATTGTCAAACTTCCTTTCCTTGAGACTGAAGGATCCCTTACCAGAAATCTTACAGGAGACACCTTTATTTTTATAGCACAATTTTCAAAATGATAGAAATTCTTTCATCTACATTTCTCCCCATTCTCTTTCTATACCAAATATGTCAGGTTTTGGAAGTGTGAAGGATTATTGACAGGAACCATAATAAATGTTTCTTGATAACACAAAGAACAAACATATACTTCTATCCCTTTCTGTTTACTGA